AGGCAGTTACTCTGTCCAGAAACGTGGGCTTTCTCCTCTGTTGCCACTCCGCCTCCTGTGCCCACGCCCTGTGTAAATAATTAGCGCATCATCACCAAGTTTACTTCGTAGAGTATGAAGCTTTGGCAATTGGAGTTTGTTTTAAGATGGTGGAAGCCTTCTTTGGTCTGAGCTTCTTTTGGACTAGCAATTAGCTTTAGCCTTCAGCCCAAGCTAATCAGGATTTCGATTAAATGGAGTCACCAGAGTTAACCGAGCTAGTAGGAGTCTAACTGCTTAAAACATCATATCAGAGCCTCACTTTGAAAATCCTGACCTACCCCATTAAAGAAAAATGTCCTTCCAGCTGAGGCAGCTTGTAGTAAACGTGTTCAGTAACTGAAACTTTTTGTCATTTGTTGAATACTGCTACTGAATATTTCCTTGGACATCGAAGGAAAATAGCTAGAAATATCAAAGCAAACTCAGAAAAGAAAAGAAAAAGATTGTTGCGCTTAATACTTCACTGCCAGGACAGGACTTGTATTTTTTTTTTTTTCTTTTTAAAGGGTGAAATGATGTGTCATCTTAAGGCTAGATGATGTTTGAAAACATTTTACTGAAACTTAAAAAACTCCAATGAAAGAAGAATGTACGAATAATCAAATGCCTTCATATCGGGCCTTTTTCTGTCTGAAAAGATTCCTTCTATTTAGGCGTGGGGTGTGGGATGATTTTCTTTTCCTTTCTTTTTATTAATGTGTACTGTATTTTTATGTAATCTACTTTTACAAAAAAAGAAAAACAAAAAGGTGATTGCCTAAAACCAGGCAGGTGGGGAAAAAAAAAAAAAAAAAAAAAGCTAATGAGGTGTCATCCTTGTAGCGGAGAAACAACCAACAGAAGATGCCTTTATTTGCCTCCCATCTTTCTGAATGTTAGCTGTGAGAAAGAAGAGGTAAGGGGAGACTGAATCTCACCCACAGTCTTACTGTAGCCTAGTTGAAAAATGATGCAAAACACTCACTAAAGCCTATATACATACACTGATACGACCCTAGGGGGCACTGAGCTTCACAGCCCCCACCAGCCCCTCAAAGCTTTGGTTACGCTGGTGTTGTTACCGTGTTTGTGTCGGCGTCTTGTCTTTCTAAAGGTTACAAAAGGAATCATTTTCAAGAAGTGAAAAATGCAAACTTCCGACGTCGATTCACGCCTTCACTCTGCTGCTTTGTTTTGTTTTTTCCTCACTCATCGTCTGTCTCTGTCCTGTTCTGTGAGCAGAGTTGAAATGTAAAACCAAACTTCATTTTGGAGATATCGTGTGGCTTTTCCAAAAAAAAAACGAAAAAAAAAAAAACAGCACAAACTCACCAGAAACCTCGAAAACAAAGAGGATCGCATCTTAGAGCAGGTATTGATTGCAGAGCAGAAGTTCACAAACGGCATGGGCCGATTATCGGTAATGAGGTGATTCGAGATATTTATAAAAACTTAGGGTTTCCAAATTTAAAAAATGTTTTGAATTAATCATCTTACAGTGTAAAGCAGAAACATCCAAAATGCATTCCACAGGCCATTAATGACCTGACCTGATTTTCTTTATTTATTAACTTTTGATTTTTGTTGTTTGTGTTATAATTCACGAATGGTACAAATTTGATCTGTTGGACAGGCGGTCAAAGCGAACGGAGATTTTCATTGACAATTTAAAGTCTTCATGAAATAGAAGATGCTACTTTTAGTAATCGCATATTATTTGTTTCATCTCAATTTTATTGCACTTAAAACTGTGGTATTCTTACTCAAGGTTATCCAGCCATGAGAATCTCCTACCAGCCCATGCCTAGTCTATAGCAGCTATGGTTGAGAAATGCATATCTGCAGCATACACTGTGCTCCACTGTAAAACAGACAATCTGTGTACGTAGGTTAAAACAAACCTGACCCGTTTCTTTTCCCCATAACTCATCTTCAAAACCCATCCGCTTTGATAAACCATATGTTTGTATGTTTCCCAGAACAGCAGCGGCTCCAGCTTTAAAAGCTACCAGCTCCTCACATGAACACGAAACTCCAAACATCATCAGAGCAAGACTCGAGCATTTCTTGTTAATTTTTTTTTTTTTATTCTTTAATGGATCTGTTCTTTATTCTGAAATGTTTACTCATGCTTGTTTTGTTTTTTTTCTTGGCTCTTCTCATTCGACAAGTTCTGAAATATTACCAAATTTAATTTATTTATGACTTTGCATATTTATTCATTTGTATTTTTATTTTTGTACAGTGTTTTCTTTTTCTTTTTTTGGTTTCCATTTTCTTTTCTTGAGAATGTTTGTAAGATTTTTATGGTCCTTGTTAGTGTTGTTTTCCCCGATAGATGCCTCAGACTTGTTGGAGGTTTTTGTTCGCTTATGATGAACCGAAAAATGACCCAACAAAACAATTACTGGACCAACTGATTACTGTGTTTGCTGAGCAAGATCCAGGATCTGAGAACAAACTGGCTACATCTGAAATACTGTGGAATAAATGTGGAAAAAAAAAGAGACAAAAAATGGCTACGTATAGGACAAAACTCTAAACACTACATTTAGTATTTGGACACACGTAAGTATTCAAGTGGATTTTAAGAGACATTTGTCTGAATTTAAACTTATGTCCTGGATCTAAAAAAAAAAAAAAATCAGCAGGGGAAAGGAAACAACTTCACCAGACGCTTTTCATTCCCTATTCCATATTTCACCACATCTTAAGTTGTTTTGTCGTCCCGTGATGCCAACGAGTTTCCTCTGTGATAAACTTTCTGGCTCGGCTTTTGCTGTGAAGACTGACCTGCTTACTAGTTTTACAGCTTTTTACTTGAATTTACATATTTATTAATACGAAGCGGTTTGAGCGAGCAAGCTGAGCCGACTGTCTGAATTCCAGTTTAGCCGAGAAGGTATATTAAGAAAAAAAAAAAAAAGAAAAATTTTGTCTCCTGGCTTTAAGGATGTTGTTCTGTGTTCCAAGCCTGTTGAGCAGATGATCAGTGCTTCATGAGAATGGATCGCCGTTTTACATGTTTTTTGTTTGTTTCATTTGACTTTGTAAATAAAAGAAACATGGTCTAAATATTTTTTCCCCCTATTTTCTTTATCTTATTTATAGATGCAAGCTACAAATGACTGACCACATGATGGTGTGTGTGGATTTCACAGTTTGGCACTGTTTGATTTAGATTGTCTGCCTTTTCACCCAGGATGCCATGATGTCATGGGGTGGCATGAGTGTTCAAGTATTTTTTGTTTTTTTTTTAATGCTTTTGTCAGAAAACTTTTGATTAAGATAAATGTGGAACAGTGGAAGAATTATTTTTACGTTAGCAGATTCTTCAAAAAAACAGTTTGGGTTTCTGAACCAAATGAAGAAACACCCTGGCGGTAGTAAATTGTTACATTTCTTGTCCACCGTTTATGTGGGAAACTCCACTGCTCACACACAAACTGACTGACCGCGTGCAAAGCTGGCAATAATTGGCCATTCCTTTTTATGAAAATAAATTTGCATGTTTATTGTCAGTAACTGTAGACATGTTGTTGTTAGAAAGGAACATTCAATATTTAGTCCTGTAGCAAATGGATGAAACTGAAACTTTAAGGACTAAATTCAAGAGAAAGTTGTAAATATTTTCCATCCTTTCATCAAAAAAAATAAAAGATGGGGGGGGGGAAAAACTACCTAAAGTTGACAAAAATAAAACATTTAAAATTTACTTTTTAAAATATTCTCTGCATTTGAAAAGTTTTTATTTTCCCTCCATTTCCACTCTTGTACATATCTGTGCTTCCATTTGGTCATTTATGCATCCAGCCTAACAGTAGCACACTGGTAAAATTGTTGGATGAGAGAACATCAGAGTGAAAATCTTCTCTTTTTTTATCCTACCTTTATCTTATTTGATTCTCTCATTAGAATTTATGTTAAATTTTCTTGGCAAACATTGAAAAATCCCTTTTTATTTTTTTGTTTTTTCTTTGCAGGTTACTTTAGTTTAAAATATCTTAAGTGTCATTGAATGTCCGCCAAAACTAAAGTAGAAATTGGACTACTCCAATGAGAGGTATTGCAGGTTTTTAATGGATTCATTGAACACCCAATAGTCGATGCGTTGTGGTGATTAACAAAGGCAACTCAAATCACTAGATGTCATGCATGATTTTCAGGCAGAAGAAAAACGGCTGCAAAATCACCACATACCTGCTAAACTAGATCTAAACTGTGCCTAAAAACCAGTCATGTGCTTAAATATGTTACATTATCCGCCATATTGATAAATAAAATTTGAGTTTGACTGCAAATGTGTGTGTTTCTATTTCGCTATTGGTTGTTGTGTGCACATCGTATATGACTCAGATCTTTATATCCGTCTGTTTTTGCATGTGAGGCTTTCTATTGCTTTTCCATAACTCGGAGAGAAAATTGCTGTTTAGACCTTTTTCAAGTTCCTCTGTCCCACTGAGACAAAATGTTTGTATGCGTGTATCTTTGTTAAATGTGATGTTCAGAATAAAATGAATGCACTTGCAACCTTTTCGGTCTTCATCTTAGTGCAAGTTCAGATGGAAGTATATGAATGACCTGTTAGGATATAATGGAGTACCCAAAAATTAAAACAAAATTTGAAATGATTTTTCCCAATATTTCTGCATAAAAAGAACTAGTTTAATGAATATTAAGTTAACATAATAAAATCAATCACATAGTTAGGATTCCCTCCTGATATATGATTTTTGTAGAGTAAAGCTGCTTTCATTGTGCCAAATGGTGGTTCTACAAAATCTCGGTTTGGTGAGGGTGAATACAAATATACATGCCATGTTTTTCAGATATTTATTTGCTTAAGTAAAAAAAAAGAATCAATTTCATCGCCGCTTCACACACATGTGCTCCTTTGTGTATTTCAGTCATAAATTCCCTTTCGAAAACTGCCTTTAATATGAAAACGTTAAAGAGGAACTACCTTTAGCGCTGTAGTTAACTCAATTACCCAGCATGCTCTGCTCCAAAGCAGTTACGTGACGTTTCCACATCCATTGCTGATGACGGTGGTAAATGGCTGGGAAGATAAGTGTCTCCTAAAACAACATTATTTCGCCAGGCATATTTTCTATCCATAGGCAACAGAATGAAGAAATGAAGGTTAAGTGATCCAACAGCCGGTAAAGTTTACCAGACGCTTCTGGGGTTCTTCAACGCGTCTAGCTTTGTTTCCTGGGCCTGTTGCTAACGTCGGGAAATCCTCGGGCTGACTCGGCAGGCAAACACCGGGACAACAGAGCAGCAGACCGAAGACTGGAGCTCCGGGCTGCTGCTTCACTACGACCAGGTTTCTCTAACACTAACTGGGTGTTCTCGTCTCCAGAGAAACTGTGTTGTCTTCATACTTTGTGACGGACGTGAATAATCGTACCTGAAGGGTTAGTTTGACAGTTTGCCAGCATTTAGCACTCCGGTGTTTACCAGCTAACTCAACCAGAAGCGTCTCCTTAAATTAAAAGGATTGTATTTGTTTCAGTTTGAAATGTACATATTTGACTCCAAGCACGCTCCAGAAACCTGCTAGACATTTGTTGGCTCGTTGTGCTACTACCTACAAAGTGAAGGTGACTAGCTTGGTGGCTAATTCAAAAAGCTGCCTAGCTGAGGTTATCACACACTTTGGGGCTTATCTACAAAGTTTTTTAGCTTGTTAAGCTGTAAAATTATGACTTTCTATCAACGTTACCGTCTTTAGCTACACAGAGTATGTTGTAGCTTGCTTTATTTAAAGGTAAAAAGCCTGACGAGAAGTATTTGAGAACCAGAGGCAGCTTTATCCACATTCCAGACAGCTGCTGGATGAAGGCTCACAGAAAAGCCTGGATATTGATGTCGCCAGGACTCGCCAGTTTCTCCAGTTCTACTTGTCAATATCGCTCCTCCAGCTACATCTAACATCTGGCGCACCAGAACGAACTGACCCGCCTGTGAGCTCTCTCTTTGGGCTTATTTGCTCAAGGAACATCCTCCTCCAAGCAGGCTTAAAATGAATCGTTACCTCCCTGTGGCACGCCAGCACTTCCTGGCCGCGCTCGCGAGCACCAGCGTGGTGGTGAAAACCATCAGCGCCGTGGTGGTCCTCCTCTACCTGCTGGCCTGGGCGGTTGACACTTCCTACGCGCTAGGCGTGACCCCTGGCTACCTGTTTCCTCCCAACTTCTGGGTGTGGACGCTGGTGACCCATGGGTTGGTGGAGCAGCATGTGTGGGGCGTGGCGGCCAGCGTGGGGACAGTCATGGCCTGTGGGCGCCTCCTGGAGCCCCTGTGGGGTGCCCTGGAGCTCCTGATCTTCTTCGCCGTGGTCAACGTGTCAGCGGGAGTCCTGGCAGGGCTCTCCTATCTCCTCACGTACGTGGCCACGTTTGACCTGGACTTCCTGTTTGCTGTGCGCATCTATGGAGCTGCGGGCTTCTTGGGAGGTGTCCTGGTGGCTCTGAAGCAGACTATGGGGGACACCACTGTACTCAGAGTCCCACAGGTGAGACTGAAGGTTCCTCATAAATAAGTGTGTTTACAGTGATGTGTGTTTAATGGGAGTGTATCAGTGTAATGTTGCACAAGTTAAACAGAACAGTGTTCTCTGGTCCTTCTGTTTGTAGAGAGTTTTGAAACATAATTGTTTTTTTTTAATTTGGACAAAATCAAGTGTCAAATGCAAACACAAATGTAGTCACTTCATTCTGGAAATATTTTGCTTTTAATTTGGATGAACACAATCTTAAGAATGAATATGTTCTGCACACTTTGTGCTCAGCTGTTAAGCAAGTTATATTTTCAATTATTCCTTTGTATACTGAATTGAAATATGCATAAAGCTGACAATTTCAAAATAATAGTGAAAACACTGGAACCAGTCAGGGTTTTTCTTACTTTGGGTTTCAGGTTTTTGTTTTCATAGGACTTTAGCACACAAGACAAAAATATACTTCAAGTTCTTCAATACACCAGAATTAAAAGATCATACCTATTTATTCAAAGCGTCTCTCTAGATTTCTTTTTTATTCTTTTTAGTCAAAAAAAGGTTCAGACATGTTGTCTTTTCATTATGTTTTTTGTCATTTAGTCTATATATTCAGCAGATTATTGCTGAATATCACAGCGTTTTGTGGACTATGCCTCCTTTAAGGGCTCATTCTCTTGTAATGCCCTGTTGTATCGCGACGGATATTGTTTGCGTTGGCAAGCAAATTCAGACAATTGCCTTCCTCAGTCAGATTAGTGTTTGATAAAGGGATGTTTTATTTTGTGCATGATAAACATAGCTGTTGGTTTTTCAAGTCATTGGTTAATATGTTGACCTCTGTGTGACCTCACTTCTCTAACATGGAGGTCTGTAGGGGTCACTTTTAAAATGTTTATTTCTGAACACATTGGTGAAATAATTAACCAATTAATTAATTAACATTTATTATTAATTTATTATGCAACAGCATGGTGTGAGTGTTAGCATGAACGTTAACATTTCTAAAAGCTAATTGGACTCCATTTATTTTTACTTGTCTGATTCACATGATGCTTTAAAGACCATTAGTTTGACTTTTGCAGCTCAGTCTATTAAAAAACGATCTGCCATTTCAGCTGGGACAGACAGAAGTATTTGACTGTAACCTCAATAAAAACATGGAAGATGCTGCCCAACAAACCAAGCCGTACTACCAACAACAAAACGGCATATGGTTCAGTTTTTAAATTACCATAATCTTGTTTTTTTTTTTTGTTGTGAAAACTGAATTTCTTTTACCTCTGTCGATTTAGAAAAGGACTTTCCCCAGTTTATTCATTTACTTATTTTAAATTAAATTTTTTGCCAGTCACGTTCCCGAGTCTTTTCACCCAAAATGTTCCCCGTTTGGTTTCAGGTGAGACTCAAAGCTGCCCCGGCGTTGGTCCTCCTCCTCCTGGCCTTGCTGCGACTGTCCGGGCTGCTCGACAGCTGCGCCCCGCTGGCTGCGTACAGCTACGGTGCGCTGTCCGGCTGGGTCTACCTGCGCTTCTACCAGAGACACAGCCGGGGCCGCGGGGACATGTCCGACCACTTTGCCTTTGCCAGTTTCTTCCCTGAGGCGGTCCAGCCGGCGGTGGGGCTGCTCGCCGGTCTCGTGCACGCCGCCCTGGTGAAGATAAAGGTGTGCAGGAAGATGGTGAAGAGATACGACGTGGGGGCGCCATCCTCCATTACGATCAGCTTGCCAGGGACGGATCCCCAGGATGCCGAGAGGCGGAGGTGAGGTTCTGGTGAATAGATTGTTGGTCACAGATCAGTTGGTTTTAAGTAACTGTATTATTCTAAGCAATCTAAAATGAAGTTTAGGGGGGGGAGGGTGTTAGCAATAAAAAGGATCAAGTTAAACTATAAATCATGGGATGAAACAGTTTTCCTTCCTCTCGGCTGCTCTGAAATAAAAGGCTCCTTTTTGTCTTGTCTGTTTGCGCGGTTTGTTATGCAGCTGTGCCGTTTTTCCCAGTTGCAGCCTTCCATGAATTCTTTCACACACTCACAAACACCTTCTGTCAAGCTGTTAAACATTATTTTTCTGAGCCCGATTGTCACGGAGGCACTTCTGCAAGCTGCTGTTCAGATTCAGTAAATGTTCGATGCAATCCCAAACACGCACATAGTTTTAGACAGTTTTATTACATTTATTCAAACAATCATGGTATTTATAGTGTAAAAAAAAAATGATGCTAGCTATAGCTGTGCAAAGGCAGATTTTTCTTTTGCACCTAGTTCCATTTGTTTTGTTTGGTGTTTTCTAGTTTAACAGATATAAGTGACTTAAATGAATAAATGTAAATTATTCTTATCCCTCTGAAATTTCTTGATCTTGATTAGCTGCATTAGAAGTTGAGGCCTTCTGTCTTTTGATTAGACTGGGTCTTAATCAAGATCGAAATGTAGATTTATTCAGCAAAGCTCCATTCAAACAATCAAGTGAAGACATTTTACTTTGTTTTTCTCCGGGCTGTCAGACATGAAATACCAGAACAGACTAACATTTGATAAATGCATTCGGTGTGTGCAAGAATTTGCTGAAGTGGTTGTAGAAGAAATTAAGAGTTACCATAGAACAGCTGAATCACTATTTGGGTGTGAAGCAACATTGCTTGGCAAATGTTTTGATATTTTTTTATGCGTAGGATTAAGAAAAAATTGAATAATTAAAGGGGGTGTTATGCAAAATGTATGCTTTTTGAGCTTTGTATCATGTAATGTTTCATATATATTCTCATCAAAAAAGGTACAAGGTTTTCAAGATATTTTGCAAATGGAAATAGGAAAAGTGTCACTTGTCTTTGCTTTCAGTCCTCCAGAGTCATTAATTTGTAGAAGTGCATTTTCCTGCAACTATAGCTGCGATTCTTTTGGTGTACGTCTCTTCCGCTTTTGTACACATACAGACTGAAATTGTAGCCCAACTTCTTTGCAAAATAGTTCAAACTCAGTCAGATTGGAAGATTTAACATCCATTGTTAAATCTTTCCACTGACTCCTTAATTGGATTTTGACTGAACTGTTGTAATGCATGAATATTCTTTGATCTAAAACCTTTCCATTGTTACTGTGACTGTATGTTTAGCTGCTGCTGAAAAGTAAACTTCTGCCTTACTGTTTGCTGTGTCTACAACGCTACTTGTGGCAAACTGTCCTTCTAATGGCTTTCCATCAGCAATGGGCTACTTCTTGCCACTCCTGCAGCTCCTTAGTTCAGGTGGACGGCCATGTCTTGACAGATTTTCAGTTGTTGTAGTCTTTTCAATTTTAAAGACTGCGACAACAGCGATCAATGAATTGATCGCCAAAAGATCAATGTTCATATTTTGCACGCCCGTAATACATTTGCCCTTTGGTTAGTGTTTAACTGCCCTTGATACTCGCACCAGATGCATAATTTAAGTGGCTCATAAGAAATCGCTACAGTGGAAAAGAAGAAGTTAGCAATGCTCCTAGATTGGTATTTTATGGTTTTCATGTCGTTTGTTTACTGTTGTTCTCTGACAAACCTCCGAGGCCTTCCCAGAGCAGCTGCATCTATGCTGACAAAGTACACACAGAGGGTGCTGTGGTTTCACATAGTGGAGTTCTGAATGCAGCTGATTGCACTGGGTTTTATTTAGGGGTATCAGGAGCTGAAATGTAACAAATAAACATTTTGCACTCATCCCCCCCACCCCCAAGAGTGGGTTTAATGTAAGCGGAAAACAGATATTTCATCTAGAATGTGGGTGATGAAGACTTGCTCTTTATGCTTAAATCAGGATTTCCACACATCCTTAAAAATGGATGTGGAATTTTAATTCATGCATCTAAAAGTAAGGCCTTTAAATGTCTTCAATTCCTTTTTTTTAGAACAGTAAGTTAGCCTTAAATACGTTAATTACAGGTCTTAAATTTTGGCATGGCAGGATTATTTCATGTTGCATATTCTCAAATGTAATTTTCTGTCAGGCAAAAGCTTGAGTTATGTGCAGACATTTTCCTTGAATCTGTGACTGGAGACAGTTGAACTAGCTGCTAATATACCCCTGCCAGCTATCTAGCTAGCTTTTTGGTGTTTATTATGGGTAAGTTCACATTTATTGCCAGTTAATCGGACAATGTTCGTCTTTGCCACTGACTCACTTCTGTTGCCAACCTATAAGATGCCGTGTTCACTCTTTGCAAAAGTCTGTAGAGAGCCAGATGCAGTGTGAGAGGCATCTGGCTCTTGCACTGCACCAAGCATAGCAAAAACAAACAGTTTTTGCTATGCTTGGTTGTAATGCAGCATCATTGCCCATCCATTCCCTAGATTTGCAGTTTCTTTTCTCTTAAGTTAGAGTTGGCAATAGCATCATCAAGTCTTAAATTTGACTTGCTGAAACCTGCAGATGCCCTGTTAATGTGCGTTTCCTCTCAGCTTTCCCTTACATATCCTGTTGGTTTTAGCAATCATTGTCTCCTGTTGCCTCTTTGATGCAGACAACTGGCCCTGAAAGCTCTGAATGAACGCCTAAAGCGAGTGGAGGACCAGTCCGCTTGGCCCAGCATGGACGACGAGGAAGAAGACGATGACGACGAGGTCCGAACCGACAGCCAGCCGCTCCTCCCTGGTGGGCGCGACACCTCGTCCTCGGCCCAGAGAACCTCCGGAGGGCCCTCAGGCGCTTCCCTGTCCTCCACCTCACCATCGTCGGCATCACAGAGCGGCGGGACAGCGTCCCCAAGTGGAGTGCAACACCCCGAGTCCAGCATCATCACCTTCGAGGATGCAAGCTCTAGATCATAGCAAGTGGAGCCTCTGGTGTATGCAGATGCACGCTCTCGTTGGTGTCACTGAGCAGTATGCTAGTGCTTCACGCGTCCACAGCTGGTAATACACTCAGTAACGATGATTAGATGTTGATATTTCACTCTACACAACATCTGTGATGAGCTAACACATGAAATTGTGCTCTCAAACTGTCTAAAGACTGTAAAGTGCTTTCAGTTCAGACATGTCAGTCACAAAAGCTCGGCGCCGTTGGGCAAACCTAGTTCCTACTCTCCTTCCCACGTGCAATTGAAAATAAAAGAAAATCTGTGTGTTAGGGCTACATCCTGACTTGCAGAACTCTGATCACTGCTACATGTATTTCACCTTCTTTCTGAAATAACAAAATCATTGTGCAGATCTTTTTCTAAGTCTTTTCAGAACAGACGTATTTGTCGTTTTGCCTGCCTGCTACAAGAAATCGGTTGATGACAATGACGCACGAAGTTATTGATCCTCTGTTGAGTGCAGATGAAGCTGCTTCTAGTGACACTTGCTGCTGGTGTGTTGGTTCCATTTGGATCACCAGCTTTGTAACGCAGAGTATGAACAGCGTCTCGGTGGTACCAACCTGCTGAACGGCGACGCCAAGCTCAAAGACTTGAAGAAGTGCCAGATGATTCTCCAGAAACATTTTGTTTCCCACAGAGAGAGAAATGGAGAACATTACCCGTTTTTATTTTTCACTGCTTTGCTCAAACGGTAGGAAAAAAAAAAAAACTTTTGTTTTTTTCTTCTGGTTCTGTTGGTCTCTAAAGGAAATTAAAAGTTTGTTTTCTTTGATCTAACAAGACGTGTTGGGCCTGTCGCGCTGCTGAACGTTGTTCAACTCTTACACATCCTGGGGTCTGTAGCTATTTCAGGGGGCTATGTCTTCACATTTACTAATAAAATAGTTAATAATGCACAAGAGAAGTGCAGAAAATAGTTTTTGGTATTAATAGACAGTTTTATGACTTATTAATTTCAGTTCATATTTTTGAATTTTTTTTTTTTTTTTTTAAGGTTTACACATTAAACCCCGTGAACACGTAGCTCCACTCCTACTGTCGCATTGATTTATATCCCATGCGTCAGAAAATGCCCTTGCTGGAACATTTTTTATTTCTAAGCTCATAAGTGTAAGGCAGTTAATGATTTTTCCAAGATGATGAACAACTAAATAGTTTCATCAATATCAACATGAAGTCCATGCAGATCTAAAGGTCAGCAATTTGTTCAATTTCTTGGCAGTCGTTGCTGGAGATGTCACATTTTATTGTGGGGAAAAAAATCAATTCCTTGGAGGTCTGATGTTCCCCGTGTCCTTTTTGATTAACGTCATTAACGGACAGTTAAGTAGTGGAAATGATTACTAGGATGTCAAATTGGTAATATATATATATTTAAGTTTAGTCACTTCAGTTGAGCTGAGAAGATGAATTAGTTTTAAAGCTGCACCATCTATTTTCTAATTAATATCCTAATGTTCTTGTAATTGGTGGGGGGATGGGGTAAGAATCTTACCCCAATTTGGGTGTGTCCTATTAAAAAAGTACTGAATGTTAAACATAATTATGATCTTGGCATCTAATACATGTTTAACTTTTAATGCAGTTTTCCCTCATTGAAGAGGTTTTTGTCAGTGACTCACTAGTTGCAAAAAAAAAAAAAAGTAGGAAAAACTATTATTGCCTAAATTAAATTCACACAGGCAAGAGCATCCCAATGTATTAAAGCAGGTGTTTGAGTGTGTTAGTTTGGCAGTTGTCTTGTGTTGTTCCAGTATTTGTCCCTGAACAGATTTACCACAATTTTACTTTCAATTACACACACACACACACACACAAATACAAATGGTCAGATTCTGACTTAAAGTGCATATGGGTTTAGCAGAAGGACAATATACCAGTTCAAAAAACCTTTGAATGGCTGCAAACAAAAAGAAAAGTGTCAAAGTAGCCCGATGTTAAGAAAACCTTCTAATGTGGCTGAAATAAGATAATCCTGCAAAGAAGAGTCGACCAAAATTCCTCTGTTGTGGATCATCACAAATGCTGAATCACAAACCAGGATGACACATCTAGCTATTAGATTTAGGAGGCAATTACTTTTTCCACATAGAGCCACGTTGGTTTGAATAGGCATCCCCCCCCTCCAGTTTTTAAAATCCTCTTTTCAAAAATGTTTTTTATGTTGACGCCGGGTATCTACAATTAAAATGGTTTTTAAGATCCAAAACTTGCAAATGTGACAGGAAAGTAAAAGCAGAAGAAAACAATTCTGGGAGAAGTACTTTTACAGCTTTGTACAAACCAGAAATGAACGGGAGCCTGCTGGTAGAGAGTCTAGAAAAAATAACTTTTACCTGGAACGACCTGAATCCAACATCAGGGTGAGGGTATACATTTGATCATCTGTCAAAATGACTTTTAGTACTCAGTATTTATGTTAAAAATACTAAATTTTTTACATACCAGCATATACTGATTTTATACTTTTTACATACAAAAAAAGCCCAGCGTCATGGTGTCAAATTTATCTGCCACCTCACTTCTGCTTGTGTGTTGTAATGGAAAAACATCAGAAGACTGAAACACATTGTCACCGTTTATGAAATAACTGGGGTTTTTAGACTGAGTCTAGTTAGCTTGGTTTCACCCAATCTTTGTTCCATTTCAGATTGTCTGTATTGAGAAGACAACAATACACAATAGGCCAAATATTTCCTCAGCTACTTGACTGGTTATTCCCGTTTTGTTGCAAATAGAAAATTGATTACCAACATTAAAAAAAAATAATAATAATCAGATTGCTTAGCATAATGCTACATATGAGTTACAGCTGATAAAGTGCCTATTGCTCTCAATTATAAAGACTCGTCTCGTCTGGATGTGTAAATTATAACGCATCAAAGCTTCCAGGCACCATTTAAAATTTTTTTTTTTTTTTCCTCCCCTTTCTCGGCTAAAACTCTTGCAGATAATATTAGCCTTCATGACTCACTTGTGGAAACTGTCTTCCCTCCCCCCCTAAAATTGTCAGAAAGTGTTTTTCTTTATTTTAATTTCCTAAATGGCTTGGGGAAGCGTCATTTTCCTTTTCCGTCTCTGTGTACGCTTCACCAGAAATCTACTTTTTTCTAAAAAAACAAAAAAGAACAGCGACAAAAAAACTGCCTCCTTTTCTCTCTCTATGCTGTGCAAAGATACTTGTGTTTCGGTTTTTGAATACATTATCTCACAATTAAATAAAATATGATTGTAAGAAGTTTCAGTTGTGGTTGTGTCCTGTTTGCTTTCCTGGATCTGGAGGAACAAGCCCAACAAAGCAGACACTTACTTACAGCAAGGCAGTGAACTGAGAAAAAAAAAAAAATTGCCTAAATTCTGAGGCGGTGCACTAACCTGAGAGGAATATTGAGGCTTTTATTTTGAAATTTTCAGTAAGCTTCATTTTAAAGGGCCACATTAATCCTATGTGTATCTGGTTGAGTTAGACACATATAATGCCCAAAACATTCCGCCATCACTGTAGTTCTGACATTCTGTTCAGCCCGACACTCTTGACTTTTTTTTTTTTTTAATTACGACTTTTTTCAATGTTCGTGGCTTTATTTGGCAGTATTCCAACAGTGAGGGGGAAAGACATGCGGCAAAGGAACCGAGGATGGAAGTCCACCTCAGGACAGGTTCCAACGCTTTTAAGGCCTCTTAAATTACTTCCAACATTTTCTATTTTTTATTGTGATGCTAACACTTACCCAAACCAGAGCCATTTTGGTTCTGACGGAGGTCTGCTGCACAGTCTTCATGAAGGGAAGTTATTTTAACAGTAGTGAAATAAATACACACACACACAAACACACTAAGTGGCCATAGAAACACCAATGAATCCAAAATGAACACTGGGTTTATTGGACTTTTTTTTTTATTGTGGGGAAAACTGGAGTGCCCAGAGAAAACCCATGTAAGAACAAAGAGAACGAACATCACACTCAGCATTCAATCTATTGGTAACATTTGAATATTAAAAAGAACAATTTTCTAAAATTGATAGATTTTGAAGTGATTTTACTAGAAAATCAAATGAATACACAGAAATGCTAAACACACACACTCACTCATTGCTGTTGAAACACCAATGAACCCAACATGGACGCTGGGTCTATTGAACATATTTCTGTTTTTGAGAAAAACCCAGAGCACCCGGAGAGAAACGGTCATTCTCTCCCTGGTTTTCCACCTGTTTGCTGCCAGACTCTGGAACACGTTCTGGAACCAGTGATTTACATTTACATTTGCAAATCTCCAAATGTAAATGGAGATTTACATTTGCAGCAGAACCTGACGATGCTTCATCTCCTGCGTGATCTCCACTGCAGAGTTCCTCAACCACAGATAATGCAGACGGCTCATTTTCCATCCATGGCAGTCTCCTCCTGGCTGACTGGATTCTGCACAGGTGGGGTGGGACTTCACACATGTCTCTGTTTAAAGGGTTTGCATATGGCTTCAAGCAGGCCTTTGAAAAAACGCGCAACTAAGGGCAGTTTCTCTGCAAAACATATCAAGACTGACACCACAACTATTCTGTCCAATACTGCGTTTTCTATAAGAAACTTCCCACAACTTGACTGGATCCCCTAAATGATTTACAAATAGCCTCAAACGTCCCAAAGAGAGAAGTGAAAGCCTGAAGTTTTAATAACCTGGACAATCAAAAAAGTGCATCAACAAAGACAATGAATCTTTCTTGTCTTGTAAATGTGAAGCCCGTTTCCGTTTTTCCACCACAGAAGCTGACAATCTAACTGTCTGACAGAATTTCCCCCTCGGATGAATACTCTGAAACTTCCTCCATAGGAGATAAGGGAGATGAGAATTCATTAAACTTTGGATGCAGTTTAAATTCCTGTGCCCCTGGATGTGATGCAATATAAAGAAAGACCAGAGGTAAAACAGGTTTTTATAGAAATTAAGTTAAACACAGACATCTACAAATACAGATCACCGCAAACTCTTTTTTGTGCATTAATGCATTGTATGGCAG